GAAGGAAGGAAGGAAGGAAGGAAGGAAGGATCATTTTCCAAAGCTGAAAAAGGAAGTGAAGTAATTTCACAAAATAGCCCACCTGAGTTAGTCACCTGTGGTCAAATCTCGACGCAAATACAAGACCTCTTTTGCATGGACCGGGGTAGGAAAATATTCAGTATCAAGGAGGACTATCCTTCATGCGGTGCTAGCAAGGAAAGACAAGAATCTTGTGGGCATCTCTGCCCATTTTCACTTGTGACTCTGCCTCCTTGTGATTCTGGCTCCACCCACTAGTCAAAACGCAGGCTGGTGGGTTGAATGGAGACCAGTCCCATCTTGGAGGAAGGGGTGATAGCAGTAGCATTGCCGCATTTGATCTTTTGATTGGCTCTTGCCAATCTCCTCTACGTGAAATGAAAGACCACAAATAAGGGGTTATGGGTTACATCACTGGAGATTTTTTTAAGAAGAGATCGGATAGCCATTTGTCTGAAAGGGTATGGGGGGGTCTGAAAGGGTGTGGGGATAGACTGGAAGACCTCCAAGGTCCCTTCCAACTCTTCCTCGGTTAGGGTCGTGGCCAACATTCCTCTAAGCCATGTTTGGCGACTGCTCAGATTTCTAGGGCTGAGGCTGGAGGTGGGCTCTTCCAAATCCACCTAAGTTGGCCTTGTTGTGACTCACTGGTCTTCCAGCAGAATGCCCTAGATGTGCATAACTCAGCAGAGCCCTTGGTGGAAAGGTACAACTGGAGATAAAGAGGCAAGGCGGCAGAGACCACACAAGAAGGGTATTGGAATGGAAGCAAAGGAGGTATATGTTAGCAGCCTACTAATAGCTCCCTAACTTCTGCGTGGGCTTTTGGCCCAGATCAAAGGCCAGGAAGTTCCGTGAGCGCAAGGCATTACCCAGTGGATAACTAAACCATGGTTTGATCCTTTCTAGGCTTCCAGGACCCTAAACTAAACCACAACCGGCTACCCTTCTCTGCTGCTCAGCCTGTTGTGGGAACCGAGCCAAGAGGTGGGGAAGGAGGGGGAGGGCATCTCTCTCACCCCTCCAGCAGCTGTGAAATATTTTTTTGGGGGGAGGGGCAATGGAGAATGGTTCTCTCTGTGCCCTGGGCTGCCATTTAGCTTTTGTTCTCGAGGCCAAGGGGAGCTTCAATGGCAAGTGTGCCCCATTGAAGGTTGCCCAGCTCCCTGGAGTAGAAAGACAAGTTGCATTCACACATGCAGCGAGCCCCAGTTCCCTTTCAGATGCTCACTAGGCCACAACAGGGAGGTGAAGGTAGCCACAGCTGTGGGATTTCGCCCTGCAAAGCTGACCAGCCCTTCCTCCCTCCCTTGTTCAATCTGTTTACACAAGCCAGGACTGATACAGGTGTGCACCCCAACACACACATCCACCTATTGTCCTTCCTGCACCGAGGGTTCCCACCCACCCCGTCTTCCCTTCAATCGTATCAACTCTCCCATTGAGAACCAGGCCTCCGGGTTGCAAATGCTTGCTTTTTTTGCAATCACCACCCACTTTCCCAGCTCACATTCTCCCTGTCCCTACATCTGATGACAGGGATCCTTTAATTAGGAAGAAGTAACCATGAATACCACCACCGTCATCCCCACCCACCCTGGAAGACTCAGGGGTGTGCGAGCAGGCGTGCCCCGTTTGGCAAGCTTACATTATTTAAAGCAGAAGGTATATGGGGGGTGAGGGAAGAAGACAGAATGATGTGAAGAATAGGTTGGGGGTGGCGCAATGAAGTGAGTAGTCGGTGTAAAATGAAGCCTCCGGAATATCTCAGCCATGCAAAGAGCAGAGAAAGGGTCCTTCTTTAAATTGCCATCTCTGGCCGGGGCTGATGGTGGTGGAGGGGGGTTGTTGACGGGGCTCACATTATTGCAATTATGCTGTCAGGCCGAGAATGAAAATACTATCTCCACCCACACAATCAAGGCTGAGACCTATCTGATTCCAAAAAGCAATATTAATACTACTACTACTGATAATACAAAGGAGGTGGGTATATCTGAAGGTAAAAAAAGATGAAGGAGAAAAGGCCAAACAAAAATAAAAATAAAATCCTACTAGGTAAAAGGCAACCAAAATTAAACCAAGGTATTAAAGGAAGGGACCTCTGTCCACTATCGTTCCTTGCTTTCTTAAATCCATGCAGTGGGTAGAACTAAGGTAACATGGAAGTGAAATACCTATATAATATATAAAATTTAATATTGGGGGGGGGTGCTGAAAGCTGGCAGGTGGCTACATACAAGAGGGTGTCCCATTTTCATAGGATCTCAGTGGCTGTCTTCCTCCTTGTGAATAATTATATAAACTATTATTATGTATCAGGATCAACTTTTTACAGAATGAATATTTTGAAAGGTTCAGTTTGCAGAGATAGAATCCGAGAGTACAGTTCAACTTATAGACCCTCCGTGCAGGAAGGACAATTATATAATAAATATAATTAGATGCACTCTTTCGGTTGGAATAATTAGATGAACTCTCTCAGTTGGAAATTAAAGGAATCGGCCTTGATATAACTGTATTCTTGGATTCTGTCTCTGCAAACTAAACCTTTCAAAATATTCCTTCCCGTAGAAAGTTGATCATAATACATCATAATTTATATAATTATTCACAAAGGAAGGAGCCATTGAGATCCTAGGATAACGGAACCCCCTCTTACATGTAGCCACCTGCCAGCTTTCGGTGCCCCCCCCCCCAAAAAAATTATTATCTTTATAGAAGGAGGAATAGTAATAGTAATAATAGGAATAGGAATAAACTTATACATACAAATTACACATGTAAATCAACCCTAACACTTGCAAGAGGCTTAAGAAAGCAGGGCTGTAAAATAACCCCTTGCTGCTTCTTTTCTTTTCAAGAAATTCTTTGAAAAGAAGTGGTAAGTATGCGAAATAGGGTGGGCTGCTGTCCTTGCCTCCCACAACTTCTTGTGGACACACCACACTCCAGAGGAAGGAACAAGAATCCAAACTGAAAACAACAACAACAACAACAACAACGCCCTCTTGAACCAGCGGTGCAACTTCGAATCAAAGCTATAGCAATGAAACCTAATTCCGAATAACGGGCTCCCAATGAAGGGGAGAAGCAAAGGGAGAACTATTGAATTAAATCCAGATTTGGATTCTGATTCCCTTTGCTGAGGAAGGTTAATAATTTCTTTGAGGTTGAGCCTCTTCTCGGGTGCTGATTTTTTTTTTATTATTTTAATCTTAACAACCCGGAGAGTCACAAACCCCGGCCTCTCTTGAATATTTGGCAAATATATATATATACCCTTTACATTCTAAGAGCTAAAATTCAAATTGCCAACTAGAATAAAATAGGCTGTTTGTTCCCAAGTTCGCCTCCCCCCCCCTTCCCATTATCCATCCATCTCTTCTGCCCCTTGGTTTGCCCCTCCAAATAAAATGCACACCGAGGCATCCTTCCTGGCGCCATCCCTTGTTGATGGAAGCCAGTCTGGAAGTGTGCCTTGGGGCCCAATTCTGAATCTACTGGATCCCCTTGAAGAAATATGTGGGGTATTTGCTCTTTCCGCTTTTCAAAACTGCACAGACAAGACACACACCCCCCCAGAGCAGTATACATTCAATGGGGACCTTCTCCCAAACATGCTTAATGTGGGCTATTGAAATAATCCCCATCCACATCTTTGAAATAAATTACAACTATCGCCTAGCCAGTTGGATTGGATTTGCACACAGCTACAGTAAAATACACGCAGACACAGACACAGATACAAAGACACCACACACACACACACACACCAAACCTGAGCAAGGTTAGCGCTAGCCAGCCTTGAGAATGGAGCTGCTAGCTCTTAGTTTTCACCTCCCTGGGAAAGGGCCTGTGTGAACGAACGCGCCTTGGTTTTTTTTCAGGAAGATGAACCAACTGGAGACAAAGTCACAGCTCTGTCAGGACCCAACATCTCAAGCAAGGGAGAAGAAGACCTCTTTTGACCCCTTCCTTTGCCAGCAGCTTCTCTTTCACACGGTCGTTTAACGGAGCACACACACACACACACATGCTTCTGGGGGGAGCAGAGCAGGGAGAAATGTGTCACCTGGCCAGTTCTGTACCTAGGGATACCCGGAACATTCAAGCATCCAAAATCTTTGCCCTATGCCGCCTCCCCTCGCCCCCATTACTCCCTGAACCCAAGACCGCCTAGGCAACCCAGAACGATTGTCCTCCTTTCTCTCGGGCTGAGCTCACACCGCACCACAAATCCTGAACCCCGCTATAAAAGGAAACCAACAACAACAAGAACAAAATCGCCATTCCTCCGTTGGCTCAAGAGGAGATGCCCTACTCAGGATGAGGGCAACGAGTTGGCCTAGTTCGGACAAGAGGCTGAGACAATGGCTGCGTTCCCACAACACGCTACACTGCGCGCTGTCAACGACCCAACCCCTTTTCCACCTATGCTAGCGTGTTAGGTGAACCCCGGCTGATGGAGCTGTTTCTTTCCTTCCTTCCTTCCTTCCTTCCTTCCTTCCTTCCTTCCTTCCTTCCTTCCTTCCTTTTTCTTTTTTCTTTCCTTCCTTCCTTCCTTCCTTTTTCTTTTTTTCTTTCCTTCCTTCCTTCTTTCCTTTTTCTTTTTTTCTTTCCTTCCTTCTTTCCTTCCTCTTTCTTTTTTTCCTTCCTTCCTTCCTTCCTTCCTTCCTTTTTCTTTTTTCTTTCCTTCCTTCCTTCCTTCCTTTTTCTTTTTTCCTTCCTTCCTTCCTTCCTTCCTTCCTTCCTTCCTTCCTTCCTTCCTTCCTTCCTTCCTTCCTTCCTTCCTTCCTTCCTTCTCCTTGCCCCCGCATCCCGGTACCCAACCCAAGGCCGTCTCTCCCTCTCTCTCGCCACGGGTGGCAGGCCCCAAGAACCGGCGCGTTTCCATTCCGCCGCTGCCTCCCTCTCCGCTTGGGAAGGAGAGAAAAGGCGGCGGCGGCGGCGAAAGAGCGAGCGAGATGGGCACTTACGCGCGGCAGCCCGGGCGACGGAGCGCGAGGCATCCTTCTCCAACCAAACGCGCCACCCGAAGCCAAGGAGCCTCGGGCGCAGCTCGGGAAACGCCGGGCGAGCGGAGTCAGTCCTTTTCGGTGGGCGGCCAGGCCGGTCCTGGATGCCGCGTTGCCCTTCCACCCGACCCCCCTTCCGCCTGGGCCCGCTTCCCTCTCCGCTGGGTCTGGGCAGGGGAAGCTGCCGCCTTCCACCCCCGCCGCTGCTCTCCTCTTCTCTGGGTCGGTTTCCAAGATGCCTGGCAGGCTGCTGGCAGGCTGAGAGACGTCAGAGCAGCCGCGTCTTACTCCAGCCAATCGGAGGGGGTGGAAGAGGAGGAGGAGGAGGAGGAGGAGGAGGAGGAGGTGCGGAGGGGGAGGGAGGGGGCGAAGAGGGGAAGATGCAGGCGGCGCGCTCGCGCATCCTTCCTCCCCCCCCGCGCCGTAATTAAGACTCTGATGGGGCTCCGATTAAAACAAACACATGTACAGATGCATGATGGCGCATTTGGGTTGGGAAGAGCCACTGGCAACGAGGGCCGAGCGGCTGGGAAGGGGGCGGTGGCCGTGGAGATCTTCGCCGCTTCCTCCCAGCCAGATCCCAGCCCGTACCACTCCCTCCGGGGCTAAAGGGGAATGGGTTTAATCCCGGGCTGGGGGCTGGGCTTTGAAATAGGGGCTGGGGTGGAATAAGGAGACCATGAGGTGCTCAGCAGCGCCGACCTCCCGCCCGGTTTTTCGACAGGCTGGGAAAAGAAAGGGAGTGGAAAGAGAGAAGGGGAGACGGTGGGGGAAGAGATCTGGGCGGACTGAAAGACTTTCTCCATTGCAGCTTTTTGAATTAGTGTTGGGTGCCCACAAAATCATTTCTTTCTTTCTTTCTTTCTTTCTTTCTTTCTTTCTTTCTTTCCTTCCTTCCTTCCTTCCCTTCCTTCCTTCCTTCTCTTTTCTTTCTTTCTTTCTTTCTTTCCTTCCTTCTCTTTTCTTTCTTTTTTTCTTTCTTTCTTTTTTTCTTTCTTTCTTTTTTTCTTTCTTTCTTTCTTTCTTTCTTTCTTTCTTTCTTTCTTTCTTTCTTTCCTTCCTTCCTTCTCTTTTCTTTCTTTCTTTCTTTCCTTCCTTCCTTCTCTTTCTTTTTTTTTCTTTCTTTCTTTTTTTCTTTCTTTCTTTTTTTCTTTCTTTCTTTCTTTCCTTCCTTCCTTCCTTCCTTCCTTCCTTCCTTCCTTCCTTCCTTCCTTCCTTCCTTCCTTCCCCATTGACGTTGCCACAGGCACTGCCCAGAGGTTGAAAGGTCGGACAGGCTGGATCCCCAGCCAAGAGGAACCGTAAGAAGGGCTGCGGAGAAGGGGCTTTTCACGCCCTCTCCATTCGCCCATCTACCCAAGGTCCAAGCCGCCGGCTTTTCATTTCCCCGACTGAGTCAGAAATTCTAGGGGAGGCTCGGAGGCTTCTCAAGATGAGGTTTAAAACAGAGGGGAGCGAGAGAGGGGGCGAGGGAGGGCACACCCTTCTCCCCCTGCCCTCCTCCTCTCTCTCTCTCTCTCTGCCTTGTCTCCCTGCTGTCTCTCTCTCTCCCGGGTGTTTCCCAGGCCCATCAAAGGCGGAGGGGGAGGTTCTGCCGTCTGAATTTGCCAGCGGAGCCTACCCATCCATCAAAATCCAGACAGAGCGCCCAAGTTCACGAACAATCAGTTTAACCCCTTGCAGACCTGGTCAGTGCTCCGGCTCTCCCAGGCCATCCTCCCACCGTTAGAGTAACGCGGGGCGGAAGGAAGTGTGTCTAAAGCAGAAGCAGCTGCAGGCGAAGTTCATTCTCCGAGCCTTAAAAACGCTTCTTCCGAGGCTTTTTTTTGTTTTTGGCTTTGTCTGTGGCCTCCTGTAACCCTTCCAGACCCTTGGGGGGGGCGAAGGGGGGGGAGAAAGGGGAAAAAAAGAACCAAAGGATTCTGTTGGCAAGCTATCAATTTCGTAACGGATTTGTTCCTTCAACTTCCCCGTATTATTTTCCAGGTGCGCCAAAAATTTGAAAAAAATAATAAAATAAAATCATTTCCTCTTGTGGTTTTTTTTGGGGGGGGGGGTGTTGCAATCTACTTTGATTCGATCCTTTTCTCAGCAGTTCTCTCTCTCTCTCTCTCTCTCTCTCTCTCTCTCTCTCCTCCATCCCATCTGCTTAAGAGAGACCGCTGAAATAACTGTTGTGTTATACAATTAAAAATAAGAAAATAAGCAAATCGCTCCGGGATTATAAACCCTGCGGTCCCACCCTTGTTTCATGGCAATTCGGCGGGACTCGCCGCTAGGAATGTGTTTCGAAGGCTTAAAAGCGCCCGAAACACACCGACCCTACGCAGAGTCACGAAAGCATCCAGGACGGACAATGTGTATTAAGAGGGGGCAACGACTCCACGCGGAATAGCAAAGAAGACGCAACATTTTGCAAATGGCTTTTTGGGGGATTTAAACGCTCGCCGTTGTAAGCGAAACCTTCCGAATATCTCCGGAGGCGACTACAGACTAGAGACTTTTTACCTCCCTGTCTCGGGTTTATTGGGCGACAACCGGTGGAATAAGCTTCAGTGGAAAAAAAAACCAAGCAGAAAACACGAGGTCTGCTAACTAAAGTTTTCAAAACGCCCCAGAAAGGGGCAATGGCTTTGCTTTGAAAAAGTGTCCTTCAACGGTGGGGAAAACCTAATCGATAAATCTTCAAGCGTCCTTCTCCACGTCTGGACTCCGCTGATTTGCCCAACAATGACTTTGCCAACAGTTTCTGCGCCTGAAAATCTTCAGGATCTCCGCTCCGTGAGCTTTGTCCCACGGGGGCTGGAAGAGAGAGGCCAAACGAATTTTTTTTATTTTTTTTTTTAACCAGATCTTTTCGGTCTGTTTCGTTTTCCTTTCTCTTGCCTTCCACGCAGGCCGGCCTCCCACTAGTGAAAGTGTCCTGAGCTTTTTACTGCTTCCAACTTCTTTTATGCCTCTACTAGACCGGGGCTCCTTTGTGTCTCCGGCCCGCGAACTTAGGGACAACTTGGTGACGGTGGTGGCGACGGTGGGCACTGACTGGGAAGTGTTTCGGCCCGCGTTCTGGAAAGGGGAGGGGGCGGAGGGTAAAAGGGACCCTTGCCAGACCTTCATGCGTGGCTGGTAAGGAAGCAATTCGCTTACACACACACACACACCCCACAGGAAAGGGTTTCTCTAGGCTGGCCTTTATGGCGAAAGAGTCTAGGGCAGGGCGGGACCCGGCGAACTCCAAGAGGAATTAAGCGGCTGGGTAAAGCCACACAATCCTGGAATAGCTTGTCAAGGCGGTTGCTCCCTCATCCCCGTCCCACCCCCATCCCCAGGCCAAGCCACGGTTTACTGGGGAAGTAATTCGGCTTCTTCTTCCCCCTCGACACGCACATACACACGCGCGCGCGCACGCACGCTTCAGGCTTTGACCCAGCACTGCACAACTGAAGAGGCGCCGTTTCGCCCCCTCCTTCTATCTTGGGGGGGGGGAAGCGGGCCTTAACGTGCGTGTTCAAACTGCAGATAGGAAAACACGGGAGGAGGGCACGCCGCCGCTTCCAAACCGTGTATTTAGCATAACCCGGCCTCCCCTTTGCTCCTTTCCAAAGCTGGAAAGGTTGGGGGGGGGGGAAGAGACGCGCGATCCAAGTCTTAGGTGAGTTTTAGAGGGAGCCGTTCAAAATCTCGCTCTTTTCCGGCTTACTTGCATCCCCAGCGGAGGGAGGGGGGCGAGGGAGAAACGCGAGGTTGGTTGCCCGGAGTAGCAAAACCAGAGTAAGGTCCCTTTGAAAGCTGGAAAGGTTGGGGGGGGGGGAAGAGACGCGCGATCCAAGTCTTAGGTGAGTTTTAGAGGGAGCCGTTCAAAATCTCGCTCTTTTCCGGCTTACTTGCATCCCCAGCGGAGGGAGGGGGGCGAGGGAGAAACGCGAGGTTGGTTGCCCGGAGTAGCAAAACCAGAGTAAGGTCCCTTTGATCCAGAGAGCTGGAGAAAGTGTGGAAGAAAGGAGAAGAGATTTGACTTTTCTCTTCTCTTCTCTTCTCTTCTCTTCTCTTCTCTTTTCTCCTCTTCTCTTCTCTTCTCCTCTTCTTTCTTTTCTTTTCTATCAAAGCTTAAATTGACCTCCTCCCCCCCCCGTAAGTGGAGAGAACCAACAGCCAGAATCGCCTCGTCTGGCTCTCTCGCCTTGGTGGCAATCAAGAGTCAATCAACATCCTTCAAGTGGCTTGTTTGTGAGAGAGGTGTGTGTGTGTGTGTGTGTGTGCGCGGGGGGGGGGAAGGGGAACACACACGCACGCACACAGACACACAAACACACCCTAGACGCCTTTGTATGCCCTCGCGGCCAACGCCTCCCGACCCCGAAGCCCAGGCTGCGTTCGCGCAAGGAGCTTAACCAGCTTCCAAGTTTAAAAGGTGGCCAGCCTGTTCCAAAAATTTAGCCCCGCTTCAACCTTCTGCTTGGGCTTCCTTCCTTCTTTCCCCTTCCCCCCTTTCGGAGGCTTAGCTCCGGGGGCGCGGAAAACCCACCGACCTCTTTGCCGCGGTGAATTTACGGAAATACTCTAATAAAAGCGCCAAGCGGCGAGGCAAAGGCGCAATTGGGTGTGAACGCGCCTCAAGTTGTCCCAGGCGCGGCGCGTGGGGTTCGTGGGGTTCCGGCGGTGGTCGAGGGAAGCGGTGGGTCTCTGGGGTGGGCGCTCGCCTCCCCCCTCCCCAGAGCCCCTCGGCGCCGCCACTCTGTCCCAAGCGCCCCCTTCTGCACCCGGGGTCCTTCGAAATTAGGGAAGCGCCTCTCCAGGGATAGGGAAAAGGGGGCGAGGTGGGAAAGAAACAGGAGCTTACCTTCCATGGATGCTGTAACTGTTGGACGGGTGGGCGCTACCTTCCTTTCTTCTTCCTCCGTTGCCTCGTTTCAGTTTCTCTCTTGAGCGACCGCTGAACAGTTCCCACGAAGGGAGGGACCGTCTTCTCCCCCCCACACCCACACTACCTTCCAGGCTCTCTCTCCCCCCTATCTCTCCTCCCCCCTCTCCCTCTTTCTCTCTCTCTTTAGGACTCTTGTCTCCCAGCAGAAAAAACGAAAGCCCTTTCTCTCTCCCCCCCCCAAAAAAGAGGGGGGCAGGTTGAAGCTGGCTGCAGGGAACTGTCATTTGGGGGGCAAGAAAAACCCTGCGAGATGAAGCTTGGTGGGCGCCAAAGCACCCCTCGTCCATGGCTTCCCAAAGGGCCCCCACGTGCGTCACTTATAAACCCTTGAGCGGCTCC